TATATATATATATATAATTTCTTTTATTTTTAAAATATTTTATTTATTTATTTAGTTTTTATTGGTCAAAATAAAGGTTTTATACTTATAAAAGACATCTTATCACATTTTTGTCGATTTGTATTAAAAAATTAAATGGTGAACTTTTAGACATTTACTATTGTTGTTATATTGTAAACTTTAATCTTTTTTATTTTTATGAATTAACGACATTATAATTTTTATGCATTATCGAAACTTTTTTAGTCTTAAGCACAAATTACCAAAACTAAACCGCCCAAATCGCTTATAAATTATTTAGTTTAGTTTAGTTTTTGTCAAAAATAAATAAATAAACCGCCCAAAAGAAAAAATATTTTTGATTTTGTTAGTGGTTTTACAAAAAAAAAAAAAAAAACCGCCTAAAATGACCTCAAACACCCCTAGTCATTTACATCAAGAGGCCGTTTTTAATGACTACTAAAAGAAAACTGTAATAACCTTCTAGGAAAAATTTTATTTTAATAGCTTGTATAATTATATTAAAATATGAGTTTAGTATACTCTGTTTGAGAAAATTTCATGTCGGTACCTAGACCTTTTAGAAAATCTTTTTTTTAGTACCTTGGAGCCCTTTTTGAACACAAAAAGATAAAATTACCCTTTTTGACAGAAATTTTGAGTAAAAAAAAAACTTTTTTAAAAAAATGTTATGCCTACAACCAAATACCAAAATACTCTATGTTTTTACGGCTAGTAAAAATATTTTTTATGTAAATTTTCTGATAAAATTTTTTTTCTATGTAAATAAAGATTTTTACCATGTAAATTATTTTTTACCAGTCGTAAATGAATCATTTACTACGTAAACTGCTATTTACTTCAAATAGTTTTAAAATATGTTATTTACTTAATTTAGTTTAAAAAATTTACTATTTACTGCAATTTTCCTTCATTTCAATGGTAATTTATAACAACAAAAATTAATTAAGTGCCTTAATAAAAGCAGGGGTCACAATATAATTTTTTTATAACATGAAAAGTATTATAAAATCTAGAGGGGCTAAGGCCAAGCACAATAATAAAAGCAAGAGCATGACAAAACATGGGCAAGAGGTGTTACAGTAAGGCAGAAGGTCTTTCAATTTTGAGCTAACACGAGCACATGACAAAAGCAAGCAGGAACTTAATATATTACGAGTCAGACTAACACATCATAATACGACTTCATTGACATCTCTACGATACAAAGTTTTATACGACTTCATTGACATCTCTACGATACAAGGGTCATATATATATATATATATATATATCTGTGTGTGTGTGTGTGTGTGTGTGTGTGGGAGTTATTTATGAATTAGATATGCGTCTGCCCATGAAAACTCTTGCAAAATCATGAGAAGCCATGCATGAGATTGTGGCTACAGAAGAGGGAAAAAAAAAAAAAAACTTTTTTTAAGGGAGATAGATTCCTGCAGTATTATATATATATATATATATATATATAATATGTATAATCAAGACCAGAGATTCTTGTGAGTGGTGTTAGCGTTACAGTCAGTGAAACGGATGATGACTAGAAATTACTAGCTAGTACATGTGAGTATTTTGATGCGTCAGGTTGAAGGATCTACCAAGTGACTCCTTAGGAGGCATGACATATAGGTAATGAAAAATCGAAAAATAAGATTAATAATTTCATGGCCAAATTAAATTCTGTGTGTTTATCATTTTGGTTTCGTAGCACTATTCATGTACACCTTACTTTTATAAGGATAACATTTATGTTTGATAGGGCCAACACGTTTACCTTAAATTCTCCTTGGATAGTCGTTTATTTATTTAGTTTTTGCTTGAAAAAACAGAAAAGATCCTTGGATAGTCGTGTTGGTTTTACATTTTTCTACTTAAAAGAAGGATAACATTTATCAAGTTTTCAAAACACAAACTTGATAGAAGGAAATTAATTAATTAATAGAGTGATATATATATATATATATATATATATATATCCTTGGATTGTTATAATTAATTCGTAAGAAATGTGCACGAAAAGTATGCCATTTCTCAACAATATTTCAAGATTATTTGTTTGCTTAAAGAAAAGTGCTGAGAATTAATTGTGTGATATTGCGGAACTATCTTCACTAACACGTAGTGCTTTATATACATGCATTATATATATAGTTGCCAATGGTTCATTATTGGTCTGGCTAATCTACTTTTGGCCTTAAACACGTACTTTAGTTATTAATCAACAATTTTCAAGCCTATTATTACTTTTTTCTTACTAACGACAAATATCAAGAGAAATCCTTTTTCCATATCAATACAACTGTATTCCATTCCAAGAATACAAAATCAGTATATATATATATATATATATATATATGCATACAGTAGTAGCACTACATTGCAAAGTTTCTATTCAATAATATTAATATAGATCCTGTTGATGGTTTGACTAAAATGAGTCTAAAAGCCTATTTATAGTTGAAATTTTTAAGATTGCATGATTATTAGTGTGGTCCGAGATCTTTCTTTGACTCCTTTAGTTCTCCTTTTCTTTATGATATCATCTCTCTTTTAATTTAATAAAGTTAATTTGTTGCCTTAAAAAAAATAAAGTTAATTTGTCCATTAATTAAAGTTTATAGCAGCTCGTTTGCCGCATGTTTAGGTAACACCTTGTGATTTAAAACATATATTTCCTCAATTTAACCTAAAAGTTCACAAAGCAATATCAATATGATAGTCTTAATTAATTGTATATTATACATTTTTAATTAAGATAACAAAGTTATGACCGCACGGGCACATTGCTGTTGGCAAAAAGATTGGCAAACCTATTTGCAAGATACAGTACTAGGTCTTAAATACTAAGAAAATGTCTAATAAGGAACATAGAATATTAAGTAAAGGTTTAGTCTTGCAAAACAAGTGGACCATATTGTGATTAATTATACACATTACGTATACACAATTTTCATAATATTTGGTTGAAGCAAATAATAACGCCAAAACACTTAAGTAACCTGAAAGTAATGGACTCTTTGAAATTAGAATCCATTTACAAACAAAAAGTGAATGAATTTTGAACTTGTTTTCAAATATATATACTATTTCCACATTATTCCAACTCGATGCATATGTACAACTACTGAAGCCCATATATTTTCATATTTCTATACCAATATTTTGCTAGTAAACAATTAATACGGAATAAACAATTCTTGATACATATGTCCGTTAAAAATAGAAATCTATAAGTAGTTAATTTTTTTAAATATCCTACCATAAAAGTCCTCATTAAAAAATATGACGACTTTTGATCACGTAAATTAGTATTAAAAAGTTAAGACTCTCAGCGCTACCAAACAAGAAATAGAGATATTTTTTTCGTATTCTCAACAACTATTTAAAAGTTAACATCTACCATTAAAATGTTGGTCTCATTAAGTTTGGTCTCATCTATCTACTTAACGCGACCTACCTCATATAAGTAGTAGGATTTTAACCTCATCAAGATGAATAGAGATATTCCTACTAAAAACAGGACAAACCTATCATCACCTAAGTCATTATTAAAAAAGTTGAATTCCTAGCTCTACCTAACCAGAAATAGGAATGCTTTTTAAGGATTCTATACATAATTGCTATGGGCATGTATGGTTCATGCGTTTAAATTAATAATTCTTGATTTTAATATTTAAAATTTAAATATTTTATAAAAAAAAAATATTAAAACAAAAATAAAATCATATATTTAAACGCAGCAAATAAATGAGCTATGGCTCATAACTTGTGTATTATCAGTGATCATTATATGTAACTTATACGTACACGTCAATATATAATTAGAATCTTATCTAGTGTATTTGATGTTACACGTGACTAACAATTAAGTAATTTTCTGCTTTCATTCACAACTGTTTTAATTCGTGAGAAATTAACAAAAAGAAAAAGGAGAGATCGAGTACAGACAGAGAGGGAGGTGAAATGTATGCAACTATTGAAACGTAAGCAACCGGTAATCACACATCCAAAACGTGCCACGTGTAGGTCAACTGGTGGGACTGAAGCTTCTGTCAAATGCTTCCTCTTCACAGCACACTGATTGGACAATTACCGGACGGCGCGGTGACACGCCGTTACGACCTGTAACAGATACGACTTCTCTTTTTTATCTTTTTTTATTTAATTTTATTTTTTTATAATTAAATCTTGAACTTTTAAACAAAACAAAAGAACCGCACTTCTCTATTTTATTTTCTATTGTTTTCTCTAATGGAAATTGTTTTTTCTTTTCTATATAAAAAAAGGAAGAAAATAAATAGTTTTTTTTTTTTTTTGACAAGTTGGAAAAAATTGGGACGTTACTTTGTTTTCAAGTGTACGGCGGGTGGGCCTCGGAATTCCAAGATGAGGTCATGTTCTTACAGGGCCGTTACGTTCGTGGTCACCGACTCATACGTGGCGCTCTCAGATTCGAGTTGCTCTCGTTCGGTCTTTGAACGCCGAATTTGGGCTTTTTGAGTTTTTGACCTCTACGTTGGCTCACTATATACACGCATTTATGTATGCTTTGAAAAAAAATATTTCGCAAACAATTCTTCTTCCTTTTTTTTTTTTTTTTAATTTGGTAATTTTCATTTAATGTAAAAATTTCCTCAAAATAATTTATAGCCATATACCGGTAGGATTCATTTTTGCCACTTTTTTTCTTATATTTTTTCTTCGCTAAAAAAAAAAAGAAACATTTTTTCCTGTAATATTATGCATATTATTTACATCGTGTGTGTGTGTGTGTGTGATTGTTCTAGTTTTTTTTTTTTTTTTTTTTTTTTTTTTTTTTTAAAAAAAGTTTTGAACCTCTGAATTAGTTGGCTATTGATTACCTAGCAAAAATATTACTGTGGCTCCCATTTGGTCAAAGATTCTGCATGGAAAGCAATACATGTATCGTATCAAACCATTTTAACCTTTACTTTCTTATCCATACATATTATTTGGTTAAAAAGCAATATTGGGAAAGTTGAATCTCGTTGATCAAAAAGAAAATCCGCGCTGATCTGGTCTACGCTAGTTAATGTGGTTATTTAATTTAGAGAGGATAGTTTTGAAACGAAACTCAACACTAACTACGGAATCGTGCATCAATATATATGAAGATCATATGCAAAAGTAATTTAATCTCTCTCCCAAAAAATGTTATGAATATTATCATGATTATAAATCAATCAGTGATTCTTTATCTAAACTCTTTCTTTCTTTTTTATTTATTTATTTATTCTCTTAAGGATTTAACTAAAGTCTTTCGAGTAGCTAGGGGAATATTTGAATTGGATTGCCTTCCTAAGCTTTAGCTACGTGATACCAAGAAGGTATACTTATATTTTTAACAGCTACATATAAATATTGATCTCTCTCTCACGCAGAAAAAAAAAATATATGTATAATTGAATTGAATAGGATACATTTATAGTTTTTGATATATGACAATAGGATATATTTAAAGTTGACTAGTGAATGTTGCATTTTAAACTTTCGATTATGAAATCTTGTACAGCTAGCGACTGTACGTTACGCATTGCCATGTGTCAAGAACCATAAAGATAATTGCAGATTAGACTAGTTTTTTCTTTTAAGAAAAAAATAATAATAGAGAATGGAGGTAGCGTACTTTGAGATAGTACATCTCCGCGTGACATATAGATCAAGTTGCTCATATACCTTTTGTTGACGGTGAAATTTACTCAATCTCAAAACCTTTTTAGTATAAGGCACAATGCTTATCACCTAGCCATAAATGACTGGTGGTGCATTAGGCTGCACTTTGAATGGGGTAAATTTTACCGATGGCCTCCGAGCATACGCAATTGTCTCAATTTGACCTCTAACATTCACTTTTAAAAGACTTACTACTCAGAAAGAAAAAAATCAGATCTGAATTATGCAACATTATCTAGTTTTTATTTCGGATATAGTTTTTTTTTCTTTTTTTATTTTACAATTTTATCTTTATTTAAATCGTCACACGTCATTATTGTACTAGATTCTGTTTGAAAATTGATCACATCTCATTTTTAATTAGAGAGGATTAAAATTGTATTTAGAAATATCAAGTTAAAAAATGAAGGGAAGAGATCCAATATTGTGAGACAATATTGGGCATATGAATTAGAGGCATCGGTGATAATAAGAATGGCATGCTTTTATATATATATATATATATATATATATTCACCCATATGAACGCTCAATATGAAAACTTAATATTTTGCATAAACACACGCATGGATAGCTAGCTTTAATCCAAACATGACGTTATGACATATTGCATAGGGGATTAGAAATAGGTTTAACTTTTCCCTTAAATTTTAGTTAATTCTCTAGGCATATATATACACACCAATGCGTATAGGATCAATGAAAGCATATAAACTAGGATATGTAGCATCCTTTGGCAATATATATATATATATATAATCATCATGATATATTTTAATTAATAAAACTAAGCTTTTATAATTTATATTTGGAGTGGTAATTTTGCGGCCTCTACTAATTGCAGTGGCAAAGGTATGATGATCATACACAAACAACACCAAGTCACCAACCATCAGAATTATTGTTGTTGACCCAAAAAAAAAAAAAAAAAAAAACCATCAGAATAATTATTGTTGTTTATACCATTACTTCAATTACTCCAGTCATTGTCTTCACCCATCTCGTTGTCATCACCACTGATATCATCATATCAATATCCAACTATTTTGGCTTTCTAAACATCATGTCATCTCTTAGATCTCAGTAATGATGGCAATAAAGACATTTGATTAGTCTGCTAGAATTTTTCAACTTGCTCCATCCTTTTTTTCTTCTATTTTTCGCGTGCATGTCCAATTATTATATATATACACAGACATGTATATATATAAATATATGTATGTGTGTGTATATATATATATCTATATATATTAACCAGCACTTCACGAATGACTATCCCAATTCCCTAATTAACTAATTCCAGTATTCCACGGTTATTATTTACTCCTCTTCATTCAATAACAAGCCTAATTGCTTCTTATTACAAGTTATTTAAAAGACATATCCGGGTCATTTATTGGCCAGTAGTACTACTAAATATAGTTAATGCAAATTAACATTCTTTCAGAGAAAAAAGGTGGGTATTCCTGTCATTTTCAAAAACAGACTTCTTTTTGGTTTTTAATGTGGAAAAGGAAATTATTAGTAAAGAAAAAAACTGAGTCATTTTCAACGTTGAGAGAGAGAGAGAGAGAGAGAGTTGGCGTCTTTTGCCCTCCACGCAGCTTAAAACACGCAGAGTGGCAAATGTAGACAGTCTCCATGACACGTTTTGATTTTCTAAAATCCCCCAATATTCTTTTTGTTTACAAAAAGCCAAATATATATTCAGATATACATAACCAAATTAAAGGAAAAAAAAAAAAAAAAGAGAGAGAAAAAGTCCCAAAGAAAGCCACATATATACATGTCATAAATATGTAGTAAAGAGAGAGAGAGAGAGAGAAAGGAGAATATGGATCATGAGTTTTGCTAGAGAGGAAAATTCATGAGAGAAGAGAGAATCGGATTGAAAAAGAGAGAGAGAGAGAAAAAAAAAAAAAAAAAAGCAAAAGAAAGCAGTTTGATGAAAGAGCACAAATATTTGCTAGGGCTTATCGCATGTTTGCTTCACGCAAGCAGCTAAATGTGGGTATTAAGCCTTTGCTCTCTCGCGTGGCTTTAAAGACTTGTCCCTCTATAGCGTTTTTAATCGTCCCCACTTAAACCAAACCCCCAAAATCCCCCACTCTAAAAAAAAACAAAAAAACAAAAAAACAAAAAAACAAGAAAGCCACCACCAAATACCAAGCACAACAATATCCCTCAACCCATTTTCTCTCCTCCCTAATATCTTCACGTAACACATGTATTTTGATCCCTTACTATACCAAGAAAAAAATAGCAAAAAGAAACTTACATATAGCCAGAAAGCCGCAAAGGTGTATCAAGGTTAATTTACAAGATATGAACACAAACCAAAACCCTAGTAGCAGTAGTGGCGGAGGAGGGGGAGGAGGAGGAGTGGGAGGGGGAGGACCGTGCGGCGCGTGCAAGTTTTTGAGGCGGAAGTGCGTGCCGGGGTGCATATTCGCGCCTTACTTCGATTCGGAGCAAGGCGCGGCTCATTTTGCGGCGGTGCACAAAGTCTTCGGAGCCAGCAACGTCTCCAAGCTCCTCCTCCACATCCCCGTCCACAAGCGCCTCGACGCCGTCGTCACCGTCTGTTACGAGGCCCAGGCCCGCCTCCGCGACCCCGTCTACGGCTGCGTCGCTCATATATTCGCTCTTCAACAACAGGTAAACAATAATCATCATCACCATTAGTATCTTTAGCTGTAATGAATATTATTACTCATGGTTGATGATTTTTGTCGTTTTTGGCCGAATTTTTACTATTTCATAACTTCCGTTTTTTAAGCCTTTATTATGTCTTGATATTAGTTTTTGGAATGGATCTTGTTCCTTTCTGATTAGTTTTGGAAAAGCTTGCGACTCGTAATTATCCCAATGTTTATTTTTTTTTTATTTTTTTTTATATATATTGGGGCAATGGTAATTTATGTACGGTCACCATGCCCTTAGTTATAGGAGAGGTATCTTTGTGTAAGGTCTAGAGGGTGGGAAGCACTTCTTTCTTTTGGTCCTGTAGATGGACAGAATTTGGTTTCAGAAGAAGAAAAAATGAAGGAAAAAAAAAAGAAAGGAAGATAAAAGTTATATATAGTGTGGTTTTAATGGTTATTCCCGTATATACCCATAGTTGTCGTTATTTTAACTTTAAATTATTGATCTAATGGTTGTAGTAAATTGAATAGTTGATTAAATAAATTTATAATAATTAATGAAATTAGATTCTTAGTAAGTCACATTATCAAATTTTTATATTTGATAGTAATCATTAATAAAAATGTAACTATTGAAAACCGATATATATATATATATATATAAGCAAATTATAATTAATGGAGAATCAAGGAAGAATATGAGGGGAATGCTGGGTTAGCTGCTTTGGGGACAGTTTTGTGCTTTACTGAAATCTAGAACGTTTTTTGATTAACAAATTATAATGTGGTCGGCGGTTACTATGTACACAATATGTAATTAGCCTATAGTTTGTGCCAATTTTCTGTGCAAATTCTAGGCTTTGCTGATATTAAGGAAATGGTCGGTTTACTGCCTCTTGGAATTCAAGCTTTTGGTTAGGGACAAGAGTCACTTTCCTAATTGTTGTTTTCTCCTAGTTGCGGCACAATTAGGGATAATCTTGTCATCCTACCATGGTTGTGCAAAAAAAAGAAAAAAAAAAAAAAACAAAGAAAAGAAAAGGAGAGAGAGATAATTCTTCCATTTTCATATTTCTTAGATAATTCATTGTTGTAACTTGATAATTTTAGTTTTCGGAAGAATAGAAATGACGTTATTTTCCTTTTCAAAATTTACTAGGTACTTCATCTAATTTTATGTCTAAAATAGGTATCTCATCTAATTTGTCATATGTTATCCGCGATTTTTCCTTGTTTTAAGATGAGTATAAAATTTATGATAAAAAAAATCTTTCATTTATTACACAACATTCTTTATTTGGGGACGTTACTTTTTCATATAATCTTGTTAATTTATGCTCATATATATATATATATATATATATTTGATAATCATATATTTTCATGATAAGAATTTAAATAGATGGACATATATGTATATATTTATTATATAACCTTAAAATTGCGGATATACATTTCTGTAAAAAGAATTTTGTATTTATATACACGCACACACTGATTTACCTTACACAGTTACAATTATGCTGTCAATTGTATTTTTTAATACGAATTACTGTTGATTGTATTAATCGCTTGACGCTAGACATAATGAATATAATATGAAAAATAATAATCTTACATATATGGTGAGAAGAAATTTCGTAGGCTCTGTTTGTTTTCTTGGTTCAAATCACAACTTAAGTTTTTATTAGAGTATTTTCTCTTACAAAAATTTAAATTTAACTTTTTTTCAGTTAAAGTGTATTGGAATGGGCGAAAAGAAGGAAGCCGTATTCACTTCCGTTTCAACGAGAATTCTTTGAATGTTGGCAATCCCATGTTGTAATGCTCGTAGTTTAAGCACTGGTTTAGTATAAACAAAGGCTTACCTTTGTCTAAAAATTATGATATTTTTGCTTTTTTCTAGAAGATATTTAACCTCTTAGAGATCAATATGAAATGGCACCATGAATACGCAAAAAATTGCATAGAAATATAGGTCCCACAGATATATTATTTTTGTTTTCCTCTCTAAATAATGATCCAAATTGTATCACTCTAAAGAATATTGAATAGATGTAAAACTTCTTCTCTTTTTTCAATTGTTGTTCTCTGGGTGTTGAGGTTGAACGTTATTAGGAATTAAGCTAATTAACATATTAATTTCACTTGTTTTGTTTAATATTTTTGCTTTCACAGGTGGTGAGTTTACAAACAGAACTCTCCTACTTACAAGCCCACTTAGCAACATTGGAGCTTCCATCGCCACCGCCTGCTCCGCCTCCGCCACCATCATCACTCAACCCCCCGCCTCTCTCAATTGCTGATCTTCCATCCGCCTCCTCTGTGCCGGCGACGTATGATTTGTCATCGCTTTTCGAACCCATCGTGCAGCCTTGGTCCATGCAGCAGCGGCAGTTGGACCCTCGCCAATTTGGTGGCTCAACCGGCAGCTCATCAACAAGTGGTGGTGGTGGTGATCTTCAGGCTTTGGCTCGGGAACTTCTCCACAGACATGGCTCACCACCACATGGACCGGTGCCATGTTCGGATGCTTCACAATCTCCATCTCTCTCAAAAAGAGAGACTGATCTCTGACCTAATACACAAAACTGCTTGCCTAAAGTTCTTTGTTGGTCATGGTCAGATACTTTTAGAAAAGGCAGCTTGATTTTAGGTTGTTTTCAATGGGCAAGTGACGTTAATAACTGATCCATATTTATATATTTTTTTCATTTCTTGTTCCTTTCCTTCATTTCTTTTGCTCAAATACTAATGAAACTCTCAATCAGTTTAACTTTATCTTACTTTTGTTTAGAAAATGCAGAAAGCCATCCCAAAGTTGCGTCGGAGAAGTTAACCATTTTTTAGAAGCTTTTATGATAGGGACAATCTATTGGTAATGCATATTTTTTTAACCTTTAATTCATTTCACATCAAAATGAATATATATATATATATATATATAGATCTCACGGTTCACAAAATCAAACCTACAGGAAGGGGTTTTTTTTTTTTTTTTTTTCATATCCTTTAGGAAAAAAAAAACCATGTTAATTGAACTCAGTATTGGCTGGGAGTACAACCATGTTGGAGCGATTATGCAATAATGCCCACAGTCCATTTCAAAATGCAAACTTCTTATCCATGTTCATATTTTGAGTGGCCGTATTCAAAATTTGTAGAGATATAGGGCGCGATTCCAAACACGGCCATAAAGTGCCTGTTTGGAATCTATTCTGAAAATGTTTTTCACGTTTTTTGGGGAGAAAAAAATAGAAATCATTTGAGAATTGCGTTTGGAGCAATCTTCAACCAAAAACAAAATTAAAAACGTTTTTGGCCTTTCTCACAAAATCACCCAATTTTTGAAAACGAATTTGAGTCGTTTTCCTTTTCCCGTTTTTAGTTTTTCCTCACTATTTCCTCGAACCTCACCAAATATGAACCTTTTTCTCATGATCACCATTGTTCAGAACAAGTTGTCTCGGCCGGCCAAAAGCGTCGGAGTCTTCATCGGCGATGACCAAAAGTGAATGCCTGCCTTGAGAAATGATCTCGGCCGTCGATTTCCAAACAGAGCTTCCGATGTCGTCGATCGCTTGGCCGACCAATTCGAGCGACTCCTGAGTGACGGTGGCGCCAATCTTGAGCAACGCCGGGAGGTCCTTGACGGCGCATGACGAGGTGTCACGGATCACCGCCGTCTCCATCTTCAGGCTGGAGCCAAACTCCTCAAGATCCTTGCGGTAGGCGGGAGCGTCGTCATTTTGGGGCTTGTCGGAGTCGGAGGGCTCCAAGGATTCGTCGGTGAAGACGGACTTGAAGAAATCCATTGAAGGAGAAAAAGGTTTAGATTTGATGAAACGACATTAAATTAATGAAACAGCAATTTTGAAAGGGGACAAATTGAGGAGGAGTTTAATATATTATTATTTTAAATATTATTACATGTTTTTAAAAATGAAACCACCAAATGCAGTTTTAATTTTTTTTAGACTGAAAATAATTTTTAAATAAAACTACCAAACGCATTTTCAGAAATGATTCCTGCCTAAAAATGAAAACGTTTTCATTTCCATTTTCATAAAAAAAATAAAATTATTTTAGAACGAGTTCAAACACGCCAAAAAAAGTTTCCACCCTTATTTAAACAAGAAACCCAGAAAAATGCTATAAGAAACATTTTCCCACTTGAATCACAATCCCAATTTAAAAATAAAAACAGATCACTATGTGGGCCAGTTAATGCAAGTTACACTTGGTCTCAGCCCGATTAAATACTGTTGGAAAATTCTGCTGAAAGATATTGATAATTGGCTAGCCAGGTGGTTATAAATTTTATGTACATTATTACAAGTTTCCAACCAAAAGATTTCCTTCCAAAAGATTTCCTTGGACTCTTTACCAAACTAGTGTTAATTAGAGAAGGCAAGTGGTTCATTGTGAACATTTCTTTAGTTGTACTTCCTCTAGCTTCGAAGTAGACAAGTCACTAAACAATAAAAGATTGTACAAGTTAATCACATATTCAAACCTATTCCCAACTTCCCCAGCAAACAAAAGCATATTAATGTTTATTATATCTTATGTAACTTACCGTGCAAAATTATGTCAAGTTGAATAAAATCACTTCGGTGACAGTTAGAAAATGTTGGTAAGATTAGAGGCCTAGAAGGTGAAGTATGGAGATGGATATTTCCATTTGTAGAATTTTCCCAATCAGAAGAATCCCAGATAATGACAATGACAAGTTATGTTCTCATTGAAGCTAAGATTAAAGGTTGGAGCTGAAGCTAAGAAGCACGAATTTTGGAACTGGCTCCCTTCGAAGCATATTCCCTTAAGACAAGATCAACTTCTTTCACAACTCCAAGCTTTCTAAACCATCCCACCAATGTCTCTGAAGCTTCTTCCCCTACCATAATACCATGTCTCTCCAACTCCATGAGAAAATCTAATGCCCTCTGGAGCTTATTCTCCTTCTCATAAGCACACAACACCAGAGCCACGCATTTATCGCTTGGTTCAAGGCCTGCCCTCCTCATATTTCCGAAAGCAACACACGCCTTCTCGCTTTGACCTGATTCTACATAGGCGTTAATAAGGAGCCCGCACAACCTAGGGTCGGGCAATATACCAGCAAGCTGAATAGCATCAAACACTCTTTGAGCTCCTTCTGCATCACCGGTCATTGAGTATGCTCTTAACAATGCTTTGTAAACTTCACTTCCAGCATAAATTTCTTCAACGTCCATTTCTCTTAGTATATTTTCTCCCTGGTCTGGCATTCCAGCTCGAATGTAGGCCATGATCATTGAGCCATATGATCGTTTATCTAATGGTTGTCCAAGCAGCTTAAGCTCTTCAAAAGTTTCTTCAGCAAGCTTGAGATTACCAGCCTTGCTGTACATGTGAATGAAGGTGGTTAAGGTTACCTGGTCACGGATGAAGCCTCTACTTTTCATGGCTAAGAGGGTCTTTTCAGCATCTTCTAGCCGATTTTGCTTCCCATAACAATGGATTATCTTTGTATAGTCACGGATATTGGCTTCAAAAGATTCTTCTAGGAGGGCAACTTCTGCCACCTAAGAAATGTGCAAAGAACCGTATTAGCATTTAGGCTAAAAAAATAAGCTCAGATTTAGATCTAACTATGGTAAGTAGATAAAAAAATGTCTCAACATGTTTAGAACTTATCAAAAGTTCAAAAATAAAAGGTGCTTTGTCCTTCTAAATTTTTCCCTTTGGAAGTTGCAAGTCTCACTTTTATGAGAACTTACCTCTATGTGGTTTGTAGTTCCTTGGAAGAACATTGAATTTGAATTAATTCAATACCAAGTGGACACAAAATTTTTTCCCAAGGTCAATACAATTATAAACTACGTATTTCTAAGTCTATGTTTGGTAAGAGGAAAAGAAAGCTAGGAAGGAAAGAAAGACATAATCTAGGATTCTAGGTGGAGAAAATAGAGAGGAAGGGGACGACATTTCTCTCATTGTGTTTGGTATAGGAGATCAAAACTCAGCTCCTCAAAGGATTTGAAATCCCTCGCAAAATACATTACCACCGCTTTTCTCTCCTGCCAAACAACCATAAATATCAAAATCCTTCCACCTCTTTCCCACTATTTCCACTTTTCCCCTGCCAAACAAGCTCTAAGATCAATTTCGGTACTTCTTAACAAAACAGAGGAACGTTAATATGGATGGAGAATATCATAGAACATAATCACAACTACTAATTCAGTATTATGCAACTAAATCTACATTTACCAAGCGGAATATATCCTAAATCTTTTTTACTTTATATCCATCTCTAGTCCAGAACAAATTTTATCCAAAATTTTCACTCCTCAATATTAAACAAACCAAATATGAACAAACAACCAAATTGAAGCCGTACAACGTTTCGGCATATCAGTGCACGTAACAAGCTTGAAATTACAGCAGACCCAAAAAAATAAATAAACAAATACCCAAAAGATAAGGGAATAAGAGCTTTAAATTTTATATTTAAAAAAAAAACCTGAAAATAAAGTGGGTGGTCCATTATCTTCAATTGCTTGATAATGGCAAGCCAATCAGCTCTCTGAGGCTTCATAATCCTCACCCACGCAGCCAACAACTCATTCAAGCTAGCTTTATGAGCAGAAAAGCAAATGAGCTGCTTCATCAAAGCCCGGCAACGTTTCGTCATCTTCGGAGAGAGTTGTGAAATGGCTTCTTTTTGGGATTCTGTGATTCCGGGTCCCACCTCGACCCACTTGAATTTTGGTTTTCCGCCGCCATTTTCGGCCTTCTCCGTCTCTTCGACGCTCGTGGCGACCAGTGGCCGTCGGAAATGGAGGTTCCGAGAGGGGAAGTTCGTGGGTGTTGGGTAAAATGGTTTGGGGAAGAAATGGGTTTTTGTGATTTCGTTGGTTAGTGTGTTTGGTGGGTGGAAATTGGAGACCATGGTTGAAGTGAATGTATCCATAATAATATAATATATATATATATATATATATGGGACTTATATGTATGTATATGTTCAAGGAGAGTGATAATCTCTGGCAAAAAGGACTAGGATTAGAGGGAATTGAGCTTGAAAGAAAATGGTAACTGGGAAAGAGACCAAGTCAAAGACATGTCGTGAGATGAGTAAACGACAGCATTGCTCATTAAACGAAATGTCGTTTTCACCCAAATTATAGACATTCTATGACAATGACGACGTGTCGTACGTAGAATTTTAGGTCCATATTTGAGTTTTTAATTCGAGTTGAGATGTGATTTTATATTAGAGCTTTTCACTGTAGCAGAAAAGTTAGATGTGACTTTTTGTGAGAGTTTTTAACTGTAGCAAAACTGAAATTAAAAACTCGAATTGGTGAAATGAACGAGGCCTTAATGTTCGTATTTGGAATTGATCTCGTTTTTGTTTTTCACATTTTTCGAGAAAAAAAAATAAAAATATTTTCAAAACGACATTTGGCGTAATAAAGACAAAAAATGAAAATGAAAACGATTTTTAAGTTTAGTGTAAAATGAGGGAGAAGTGAAAAATGACTTTTAATCGTTTTTCATTTTTTGTTTTTGTCTTCTCCTCTCTCGAGCAAAGAGAGAGATAGACGTTAATGAGTTTTTTTATACTGAAAATAATCTCTTGATAAAATTACCAAATACATTTTCAAAAATGATTTCTGTCTGAAATTGAAAACATTTTCATTTTCATTTTCATTTTCATACAAAAAATAAAATTATTTTGAAATGAATTCTAAATACACCCGATGTATCTCGACTTGGCATGCTTTGTGTGGTTTTTATAGTGAGAGTTATGGAGTATTGATAATGATTGTCTTCGATCGCGACACTTGCTCCACCTCAAAATACAAAATGCTTTGGGAATCGAATTAAACTTTAGCACAAATCTTCATCCTTACATAGATGATCAATCTGAGCGTGTAATTCAAATATTTAGGCATCGTTTGTTTCATGCGTTTAAATTTATGTTTTTAATTCTGTTACAATATTTTTTCTCATAAAAAAATTGTACTTCAAATACTAAAATAAAAAATTACTGATTTAAACGCATGAACCAAACGGGTCTTAAAAATATGCATCTTGTTTGTGACTTAGATTTTGGTGGTAGCTGAAGTGAACATTTACCTTTGATCCGTGTTTACTAACAATAATAGCTACCTCACTAATATTGGGATGGCTTCTAACGAGGTTTTGTCCATTAGGACTTGCGTATCTCATTTGTGTTGGGTCGAGAGAGAGAAACATATTGTTCTTGGACCGGAGTTAGAATAAGAGATGATAGAGTCAACAGTTGAATTAAGATGATAGTTGATAGTGCTGGAAAATTTGAGTACAGGGGATGAAAAGAATGCAAAAAATAAGAAGGTTTGAGGCATATAAAAATATTTTTCTTTAAGTTTTTATTTGCCTTCACTTTTTAAAATTTACTAATGAGTTTTAATGACAAATTATCCACAAGATATAACAAACCTTTGAACACAATATCTAGCAATAATATTGTGTTTCAAAACAAGAATAATGTCTGTAAATTTTTTGCAAAATTAATAAAGACAGAGGTGTATTTCATGAATAAACACATCCTCTTTAAACATCACAACCATTCACATAAAGGTATATTTTCAACGTAAAGGTATCTCTTCATGGATTAATACATTTTTTAAATAGTTATATCTGTTGCTAATAGGTGGTCAGATATGTGTGAAAATATATCACCAATGGATGCAACAGTTTGAAAGGTTTCAAATCACAAATCGCACACAAACACTTTTTTTTTTCTACAGAACAAGTGCTGCAGCGGATTTTTCATCCACTGCAGCGCTCAGACCAGTTCAAACTGGCTTGAGACAGTGCAGGCCGCACGCTGCAGTGCCTCACATGGCACCACAACGCTTATACTGCTCCTAGACAACTATTTTATCTTATTTTAACTACCTAAATATGTATAATAACGATCGAGACATATTACAATTTCTCTAATAGATAGTTGGAGTTTATGCGTGGAGATTCATGTTTCTTGTTTTGGTGTCCAAGGAAAGCTTGAATCAAAGTACAATAGATCCTTTGAGATTTTGGAGCCAATTAGACCAGTTGCATATTGCATGAACCTACCACCTCAGTTGTCACAAGTAAACAATTTTTTCCACGTGTCAATATGAGCTAGATCCACCGCGTGCCATTTTGTGGACAAATTATCTAATTAAGGATGCGACTTAAGAACAATTTCCTACTCAGATTTTTTATTGCAAGGCTAAGATCTTGAGTCATCGTGTCATTCCTATAGTAAAAGTGATATGGTTATAGCATGGAGCTCAGGAAGATGCTTGGGAGCGAATTAGAGATGCAAAAAAAGATATCCCTATTTGTTTTAGAGTGAACTACCTTATAATTTCGACGATTAAATTTTTTAAGGGTAATGGATGTAACACCCAAAAATTTTTCCTTTGATTTTGTTTGAAGATGGATGATGAATATGAGAATCAATAAACTCAAAAGGAATAGTACGTATCTTTCTTCTTCTTCTTCTATGTGGAAACATAAAAGAAGGCGAAAGATACGTACTAATTTTTGTTTCATAAATGGCTTCACAAGCGAAGCATTTATGCTTTGACTTGTGATTTCTCTTAGTCATAAATCCATGGTTTTCTTCTTGACGTTGTGCTTGTTGGATTTATTTATCTAAAGCCTTGGTATAGTTTGGGATTTTGATATGTTACCAATAATATGGATAATACAAAGAAAAACAATATATATATATATAACAATTTTTTACAAGAACAAAATAATATAATTGTTACAACACAAATTCAACATTTCTATTAAATTTAAAAAACGAATTGGTAAGGATGTCAAGGCACGTGAACCACGCTTTCTTTAAAATAGATTCGTCCCCTCCGGTGAGTGCTTGAGGTAACGTTGGACGTCCGTCTCCCAAGATACAACGACAACAACAGTAGAACAACGCACTATCGAAACCGTCTCAATAAACTAGAAATGCACATTTGCTCTATCACCAAAAACACACTACAAAAGAATTGCAAGAGAAGAGCTCGAGGAGAAGAGAGAACCCGTGGGAGGAGAAGAATGTTATGTCTTGTGTGTCTTGTTCATGTGGAGAATGGCCTTTATATATGCTCCAAAATTCAGGTGTTACACCATGCCATAATGGTGTATAAATCCGGATTTATTTTCGGATTAATAGAGATTAAAACAGAGATTACAGCTCTTGATGAACCTGCTCCAAGATATGTCCATATTCATAGATTTTATGCTCATAAATGCACATAAAAACATGGTTAATGTTGCAGTTTTTCTCAAAGCCATAAACCCTACACTAATGTAGTGTTAAGGCTTGCACAAATGTTGCAGTTACCAAACCGAATTTGTTTAAAAAATAAATTCTGGATTTAAGTTGGAAAAATAAAAAGAAAATTGTAAAACTAAGCCTGCACAGAGTGGGTTTTCCGATCCGGTATTCCTGTCCGCAGGTCACGGGTGCACACGTTGGATCCCTAACCCGTCAGGACCGTGATTCGCACCCCCTGCGTGTGAGAGAGCCTCTCTGGTATACATGCTTACCTAGGCTTCAAAATACAATAACTTATAAACACCACAAAAGCTTCATTCCTAGCCAATGTGAGATTTTTTACAATTTCCACCAAAAACTAATTGGGCCCTATTATAATATGGGCATCAAAATGGATCTTTAAAATGGTTAATTAAGCTATTTTTCCAACAGTTCATTTTTTCTAGATCAACTAGAAAAGCTCCCTTATATGGTTATTTATTTGTCTAGTGACAAGTATCTCACACTGTGTTACGTATTTCTATGGTAATAGAAGTTTAAATAATCTTTTTCTTTTTGTTGTTTTTTAAAATGTTTTTGCATGTCTTTTGACGAATGAAAATTAAAATATTTTCAAAATAGTGTTTCATTAGCAAATGTTTTGAAAATAAGAAGGAAAAAAATAGTGGCAATAGTTTTTGTTATGAAAATGGAAAATACTTGACAGTAGTTTTCATATTTTTGAATTCATCATTTAAAGTTATAACCTAATACATATTTTCAAAAAAATACACATGCAGTTTCACTTTTTTTTCTCAAGAAGTTTTTCTGGTAGGACTAGAAAAATAAACTATCAGAAATTCTTTACTTTCAGCCATTAGACTTGTATCATAAACTTTCTGTTATGCACATTCTTTCAATCTGATGTGATTTTGACCAGAACTAACGGTAAGAAATTAGCCCTATAAGTAAGAAGATAATATTGGAGAAAGTCCACTTTTCTTATACCATTTTAGAGATGTTAAAAGGGTCGTTTTGGATCGGCACGAAGACCCTTCTAATCCCATACCCGTGGCGGGCCTAGGCCGTGCCAGGACCGGGCCTGAGGAGAAGCCCTCAGGCCTAGCACTAGCCCTCGGCCCTAGTCCATAAGGGCCAAGTCGGGTTAGACCCTGGCCATTTAAAATTTTTTTTTGCAATATTTAATTAAAAAGAAAGAAATATATCATATGCCCTAAAAAAAATGATTTTATTGAATTGAGATAATACGAATAAGTACACATAAATGATTGCCTCGTTAAAAATCTTGCCAAGTAAAACCAGTGGGGAGATCGGGACAAAATCTTAGCGAAGAAAAAAAGAGTGCAGTATTCGAGGATAAGTAAATTATAAAACCTAAGCGCTTCTAAAAGATTATGTTATGTCTAAGTTAGACAAATATTCTTGATTTGAATCATCTGTATATTGTTATTTTCGTCTTTTCACATCTTCTCAGTCTTTAACGCACATTACCCCTTCCAAGATATCCGGATACATTCTGCTTCTCTTCTCATCAAGAATTCGGTTGCTTACACTAAATGCTTGCTCCGATGCTACAATTGACACTGGAGTTGTCAGAATGTCACGGGCTATTATGGACAATGTTGAAAAACGATCGGTCTTGCTCCTCCACCATTGTAAGATGTCCAGTTTGTCGTCATCGATTACAAAATTTGATTCAAAATATTTTTTCAGTTCGGTAGACACTTATGTTGATGACGATCCTGACGTTTTCTCTTTCTTCTTTAAGAAGCTCCACGATGAGCCATTAAAAAAACAACCAAACACAATTTCAAAAGCCCTATTAAAAAAAAGGGCTTATTACACTAACACACCCTGTGTTTTGCTAAAATAACAGAGACACCCCTTGATCAAAACTAATCATGTCAACACTCCTAGACTTTTTATAAAAATGACATGACACCCCCTCCATTAGTTGATCATGAGTTGACCGTCAATCTTAACCGTGAAATTTTTTAAAAATGCCAAAAATGCCCTTCTATTTACCATAAAATGTTTCTAAGTTGTACATAATATTAGAAAGACTTTTATATCCTTATTTAGCATCAAAAAATGATTTTAGTTAATTTTACACATTTATCACTATAATTTTCACTCTAATGAAAACAAATATTTTTTTTGATTTTTTTAAATCTTTTGTTTTAGTAATGTTCTACATCCACTAAACTTGCGTATTAAATTAAAGCCCATTTAATATTTGGTGCATTATTAGCACCAACTATATTATAATAAAATTTAATTTAATTTAATTGAAAGAATAATATAAATTGGACAATTTTATCCTAATAATAAAACAAAAATGATTTAAATTAAACTTAAAACATTAATGACAAAATGTATAATAAAAAAATTAAACGCGTTAACTTTTTTTAACATATTATTACGTTAACTCTTTAAAAAATATTACAACACATCCTAAAACAATTTTTTATTAAAAAAAATAAAAATAAAGAAAGTAAATTTAACACATAGGTAGTTTTGATATTTCTCACTAAAATTTAACAGAATTTCAATTAGAAGATGTTGCTGTTATTAATTTCAATCAAAGGAATATAACTATAATTTTAATAAAATATAAGAGGTGCCACCGTAATAAACCAAAAAAAATCTCCTTTTCCATATATTTTTTGTAAAAATTAGAATCTTTTGTTTCTCCTTTTTGATGTGTAAATATTCTGCCTTGAGATACAAGTATCTAGTTGTTTGGTTATGATCAAAGGCGACTTTCCATACACGCAAGTGAAACAAAACTAATCTTTTACCACACAAGTTTTCGATCTTCAATCTTATAGAATCCTTGTCAGTGATGCGATGACTATTAAAAACTTGCGAGTAAACTTTCAGTTTAAATTGTGGACTAAGTTTTACAAGTGCAATTAGCCGTTACTTTCGATAATAATGTTAGGATTTATATGTGAGTTATGACATGTTTACTTATTAAGATTAAAAAATAAGTGAAAAATAAGAGTCAATCTCATGTTACTTGTTTTTTATTTTGAAATAAGAGTGAGATTGGTGGGCCCACTCAAATTTGAGATTAAAAAATAAGATTGTCACTCCTATATCCTTTTAGACTTGAGATTCTCATTCTTAAAATTAATATTAAATTACTATTATACTCATATTTTACTTATAAATATAAAATTAAAAATAAAATACAAAAACTAATAATTACAACATATATTTATTATTTCATTTGCCTAATATTATAATATTAGCTTAATTATTGTTAACTTTAATATAATATATATGTGTTTTATTTGTTTATTAAATTAATAATATATTTTAATTTTTAATACTATTTTTTATTTTTTTTATTTTTTTTAAATTTGTAACAATTTATTTTTATATTTTAAATAATTATAAAATTTATATTTATTATTTTAATACCCTATTATTAAAATATATATTTTAATTATGATTAAATTTAATATAATAAGTACACAATTTATTTTTTAAATTAAAAATATCAAATTGACTTAAAGGGTATACTAGTATTTTTGGACTGTTTCATTCCGATTATGGTGTAAGTAAACACACGAATGAGATTTAAAGTGACTCCGAATCCAGTCACCAAGTAAATAACTTATTTTGACTCCGATTCCTCACTTCGAAACCTGCCCACTCCGATTCATGCCGATTCTAATTACACGTAGATAAACATATCATTAGTGTACATGTATTGACCCATGTTTATTTAGAGGGTTTAAAATGGTTTGAACTCTTATTTGGTTGCATGACATTTGAGTATATAGTACATTTGAATGCAAAACTAACTGTTGAAAAGAACTTTACCCCCTAAGTTCTTAAGGTTCTAACCCAAAACTGTTCACAAAATTAACTTAAAGGTTCCCACTAATCATTTTCACTCACATTTTCTTACCAGTTTAAACCACATAAAACCTACATTAGATTCAAATCCAAAAGTTCAAAACCAACAATTTAAACCTACAAAGCAAACTGGGCTTGAGTTGAGTATATAGAATGACAGCCATCTAAAATTTCACATCCTTCCTTCAATTTGGTAGCCCATGAACATCAATTATGAATTTTTGGGTATGTTTGGTAGTGATTCTTGAAGCCCAAAATCAATTCTCTAACAATCCACGGTTGAAATTTGTGTTTGGTAAAAAATCATAAAAAGTGATTCTTGAAAAAATTTTGAAAAATTTTCAGTCAAAATTAAAAGCAGCCTAAAGACAACTTTGACTTTTAGATTGTGCGTCAATCACCTTGAAGTACAATTAATTAAACTTTTATAATACTCATAATACCACTAGAATTAATACTTTTATAATTATAATTTATCAAATACTCAATTACTTTTTATAATAGCTGTTTTTTTTTTTTAAAACAGCCAACTACCAAAATGACTTTTTGCCTGATTGTTTTGTTTGTTTTTTTTTTTTTTTTTTTTTTTTTGGACTAGTAATACATGATGTTTGCAGGAAAGAAAAAAGTTAATACGTTTTCATTTCGTCCGCTTATATTTATAAAAGTATGTTCATTATATGACTCAAGTCATATTACTACATTATTTTTTTAATAAAAATTTAAATTTAACTTTTTTATTACAGTATTTTTATCTCACATATATACAATTCAAATTATAACTCAAGTTGTGTAAAAGATAAGCCCTAAATATTTATCAATATCATTTAAACGGCTGTAATTTTAATAAAAAAATAATATTTGGATTTTTTTGGCCAACTTTGATTCTACATTGCCTTAAATTATGTCTATAAGCCAATATTTTCGTTTTGCATTTAGGGGAGAAGAGTATTATGTTATTTTATATTTTAGGATATGTATTTGTTTTATAGATTCAAATTCAATTATTGTTTAAATTTTTTTATTACAGTATATTTTTTTTCCCTAAAATTTAAATTTTTATTTGTACTTGTTTCTTTAAATTTATAAACCAAACCGGATCTAAGTTATTTAGATTTGCATTTGGTAGATTGTTTTCCAACTCAGTCGACGTCTCAATTATCAGTTAATTGGTATAAACGACTCTACTAATTACTTTTAGAAAGATTTTAATAGGAATTTTTTTCAAATTTTTACCATTGAAATAAATCCTCATTAGACCTTATATAAAAGTATATCCATGGCATTAAATGTCAACATAGTCTTGTGTTTCTAAATTCAACCGAGTCCGTCAAAAAGCTTATAATTCATTATAATAATATTCCCGGGAAGCTAATTGAAAAATCCATCCCCAGATCACCAGCTGAGAAAACCGTATTCAAAACAGCCAAATATGTCGAAATACCAAAAACACCCCCAAACACATTCCTTATTCTTTTAACCTCGATTCAAACATTCAAATATCTTCCTGAGAAGGATAAGGGTACAAGAGTCATTTCACCTAGAACTTTGAACCTTCGTTAGATAATCCCGAAAAAAAAAAAAAAGAAGAAAAATCCTAAACGCGATCTAAATCTTAAGCCCTCTCTCTCTCTCTCCCTTCCAGTCCCACCACTCTCCACGATACTTCTCTTCTCTATGCGCTTCGAATCAGAACAACCACTGAGTCAACTCGCCCCACAACTCGCCGAGGTACCAACCTCTCTGAAGCTACATCAAGAAGCCAATCGACCTTCTAGAAAGCCTAGTTCGCCAGCGACCTCATTTCCAGATCTGACTCACTGAGTCGCGACTCGTAAGGATTCCGGGAATGGCTTCCTCGGAAGCCGATTCCCGCCTGAGCCAGGTCGTGTCCCCAGCCCTAGAGCGAATCATCAAGAACGCCTCTTGGCGCAAGCACGCCAAGCTCGCTCACGAGTGCAAAGCCGTCCTCGAAAAGCTCGGTTCCAAGCAGCCTCCCAGTACCGGTCCAGATTCCGAGGCCGATGCGTCCGGTCCGGGGCCGCTCCACGGCGGTGGCTGGACGGACTACTCCCTCGCCGAGTCCGAGTCCATCCTCAGCCCTCTGATCAACGGCGCCTCCTCCGGCGTCCTCAAGATCGCGGATCCGGTCGTCGATTGCGTTCAGAAGCTAATTGCATATGGATACTTGCGAGGCGAGGCCGACCCTAGCGGCGGAGACGAGGGGAAGCTCCTGGCGAGGCTGATCGAATCGGTTTGCAAATGCTACGATTTAGGCGACGATCAGATGGAGCTCTCGGTGTTGAAGACGCTCTTGTCGGCGGTGACTTCGATTTCGCTTCGAATTCATGGCGATTGTTTGCTCCAGATTGTGAGGACTTGCTACGATATATACCTCGGAAGTAAGAATGTGGTTAATCAGACCACTGCCAAAGCATCGTTGGTCCAAATGCTGGTGATTGTGTTCCGGAGGATGGAGGCCGACTCGTCCACGGTGCCAATTCAGCCCATTGTGGTCGCCGAACTCATGGAACCGATCGAGAAATCAGATGCGGACGGGTCGATGACGATGTTCGTGCAAGGATTCATAACCAAAATTATGCAGGACATCGACGGAGTGTTGAACCCCGTTACGCCAAGCTCACTCAGCGGACACGACGGCGCGTTTGAGACGACTGCGGTTGAGACAACAAACCCGACGGATTTGTTGGATTCGACGGATAAGGATATGTTGGACGCGAAGTATTGGGAAATCAGTATGTACAAGACGGCCTTGGAGGGAAGGAAAGGGGAGTTGGCGGATGGGGAAGGGGAGAGAGACGATGATTTGGAAGTTCAGATCGGGAACAAGTTGAGGAGAGACGCTTTTTTGGTGTTCCGAGCTCTTTGTAAGCTTTCGATGAAGACGCCTCCCAAGGAGGCATTGGCGGATCCTCAGTTGATGAAGGGAAAGATTGTGGCTTTGGAGTTGTTGAAGATTTTGCTGGAGAATGCAGGGGCTGTTTTTCGAACTAGTGAGAGGTAATTTTAACTTGTTAGATCGTTATATGCCCATATGATTTTTTTGATAATGTACTTACCACAATCGATCTGTTTTTCTATATTTCCTTTTGGTGATGAAGTATCTTGCATATACTGATTAATGGTTTAACTGGTCATATCTATTTTATATAGGTATTAGCTTTGGTTAATTATAGAGAAAAGAATTAATGGACATATGCTGTTTCGTTTCTATGAAAGAGAACAAAGCCTTAGAATTTGATTCGATGTTTAGTTATATGATGTGTAGAAAATGAACATGAGATGAACATCGACATTGCATAGCTACAAGCGCAGTCAGCTAATGCCATTTTGGTTACTTGTTTATGTGTATTGCTAGTTCGTGAGATATTGAGGTATTTAAGATAGTTTAAGCTTTGATTTTGAGGTTTCTATTATTTTTAGAAGTCCTTTGAAGGAACAAAACTTGAAGTTCAACTCCTTAGTTAATGGAAGAAAGGTCTTCACGTTGGACATTTATATGATTTTAAATATGTCATTTCTGGAGTTAGCACATTTTGTTTCTTATGATTTTTAAGTTTATTAGTTTATGAGTTCCTTTACTCATTCTTGAGTTAGTACTTTTAATTCTATCTGAGTATAAGTTTATTAGTTTATAAGTTAGTACATATCATGTTCCAATCACCTTCAATGGATACCTCACATTCTCTACACTTGTATTATAAACATGTCTTACTTTGGTTTATGTTTTCCCTGCAGTCCCTCCATGAACCTTTTCTTTTCTTTTTTTTTTTGTCACTATGCATGTGAAACAGGTTTTTAGGTGCCATTAAGCAGTACTTGTGTCTTTCATTGTTGAAGAACAGCGCTTCGACTCTTATGATAGTTTTTCAGCTATCTTGCTCCATATTCATTAGTCTTGTGTCAAGATTTCGAGCTGGATTGAAAGCAGAAATTGGAGTGTTTTTTCCTATGATTGTTCTCAGAGTTTTGGAAAATGTTGCACAACCCAATTTTCAGCAGAAGATGATAGTGCTTCGGTTTCTTGAGAAGCTCTGTGTTGATTCACAGATCTTAGTAGACATATTCATCAATTACGATTGTGATGTCAATTCATCAAACATATTTGAGAGGTAGGCCATAGCACACTGTACTACGTTATAATTTACTCTTTCATATAATCTACTTCAAGGTTATTAGCAGTTGTAAGAATATCTATTCATCACCTTTGATCTCCTTGTTACATTCTGTGCCTAGCTCGTTTCAGGTTTCACTTGGTTTGTATTGATTAATTGTGCGTTTCTGTTTTACTGTGATGCTGCTAGGATGGTTAATGGACTTCTTAAAACAGCACAAGGTGTTCCTCCTGGTGGAGTCACCACCTTGTTACCTCTTCAGGAGGCAACAATGAAGCTTGAAGCAATGAAGTGTTTAGTTGCTGTTTTAAGGTCGATGGGAGATTGGATGAACAAACAATTGCGCATTCCAGATCCTCATTCCCCCAAGAAAATTGACTCAACTGACAGTAGTCCAGAACCGGGAAGTCTTCCAATGGCAAATGGCAATGGTGATGAGCCTGCTGAAGGATCAGATTCTCATTCTGAAGCTTCGAATGAGGCTTCTGATGCTTTGACAATTGAGCAACGCCGGGCTTACAAGCTGGAACTTCAGGTAAGCAAATATGGTTTTGTAGGATGCAATCAGGTGTACCTTTTGGTTGCCCGGCTTGGAACCTAATGTAATCTTGTGGCAGGAAGGTATATCTCTTTTTAACCGGAAACCCAAGAAAGGAATTGAGTTCCTTATTAATGCAAATAAGGTGGGAAGTTCGCCAGAGGAGATAGCAGCTTTTCTTAAAAATGCATCTGGTTTGAGCAAGACTTTGATTGGTGATTACCTTGGTGAAAGAGAAGAGTTATCTTTGAAAGTGATGCATGCGTATGTGGATTCCTTTGATTTTCAAGGTATGCAGTTTGATGAGGCAATCCGGGCCTTTCTTCAAGGTTTTAGGTTGCCAGGAGAGGCGCAAAAGATAGATCGAATCATGGAAAAGTTTGCTGAGCGCTATTGCAAATGTAACCCAAAGGCTTTTATTAGTGCCGACACAGCCTATGTCCTTGCTTACTCCGTGATAATGCTCAATACAGATGCTCACAACCCTATGGTGAAGAACAAGGTGAGTTCACAAGTTCCATTTCCATTAATTGAGTGTCAAGATAATGCTGATAATTCTGATGGTTTTCTCTCTGGCTATTAAAATTCACAGATGTCGGCTGATGATTTTATAAGGAACAATCGTGGCATAGATGATGGAAAAGATTTACCTGAAGAGTACTTGAGGTCATTGTTTGAGCGAATTTCAAGAAATGAGATAAAAATGAAAGAAGATGATTTGGCTCCTCAACAGATACAATCAATTAACACAAATCGACTCTTGGGCTTGGACTCTATTTTGAACATTGTGATCCGTAAACGGGATGACAAGCATATGGAGACCAGTGACGATCTTTATAGGCACATGCAAGAACAGTTCAAAGAAAAAGCACGCAAATCTGAGTAAGACCAAGTAGTTATTTTAATGCTTCAAAAACTTGATGTATTGCATCAACTTGCGGCATACGTTCAACTAAACTCAACTTTATACCAAATATTTGAGTTTGGATCTGCTTTTTGAAAGTTGTGGTGTTTGCATTCAAAGCAAATAATCTTTTAGATTTCCCTCTTAATGTATATTTGTATGGAAATCTGTAGGTCTGTGTATTATGCTGCAACAGATGTTGTGATTCTAAGATTTATGATTGAGGTATGCTGGGCTCCAATGCTGGCTGCATTCAGTGTTCCGCTTGACCAAAGTGATGATGAAGTAATAATAGCTCTATGCCTTGAAGGCATTCGTTATGCTATTCATGTTACTGCTGTGATGTCCATGAAAACTCATAGAGATGCATTCGTCACTTCACTGGCGAAGTTTACTTCTCTCCACTCTCCCGCTGATATCAAGCAGAAAAACATAGATGCAATTAAGGTCAGTATATTACTAACCTTATGGAGATTGCGTTGAATGATTCAATTAAGTCAGGATGTCGCTTTCTTGTTAAATGATTATGACAAAAAGAAAATTCTTGGTTAGAAACAAATGCCGTCTTTCCCAGGATCTGATGTTTGATTTAATTATATCATTATTAGGCAATAGTGACAATTGCGGATGAGGATGGGAACTACTTGCAAGAAGCTTGGGAGCATATTTTGACATGTGTTTCTAGGTTTGAACATTTACATCTGTTGGGAGAGGGTGCTCCTCCAGATGCCACGTTTTTTGCTTTTCCGCAGAATGAATCAGAAAAATCAAAACAAAATAAGTCAACAATCCTTCCTGTTTTAAAGAAAAAGGGAGCTGGGCGGATTCAGTATGCAGCTTCTACGGTCATGAGAGGTTCATACGACAGTGCTGGCATAGGTGGGAATGCATCTGTCACATCTGAACAGATGAACAACTTAGTTTCTAATTTAAACATGTTAGAACAAGTTGGAAGCTCTGAAATGAGTCGCATATTCACGCGGAGTCAAAAGTTGAACAGCGAGGCAATTGTTGATTTTGTTAAGGCTCTTTGCAAGGTTTCCATGGAGGAATTGCGATCTGCATCTGATCCTCGGGTTTTTAGCCTTACAAAGATTGTTGAGATTGCGTAAGCATCAATTACTTTTGACTCGTATGTTTTCACAAATTCATATTTTATGCTTCTTTCATGAAGATTTTAGTTTGACTTGATTTCCCCCCCTCCTATCTCAGGCACTATAACATGAACAGAATTAGGCTTGTGTGGTCAAGCATCTGGCATGTTCTCTCTGATTTCTTTGTAACAATTGGCTGTTCTGAAAACCTTTCCATTGCAATTTTTGCAATGGATTCATTACGCCAGTTGTCAATGAAATTTTTAGAGCGAGAAGAGTTGACTAATTATAATTTCCAGAATGAGTTCATGAAGCCTTTTGTCATTGTTATGCGCAAAAGTAGTGCAGTTGAAATAAGAGAACTAATTATCAGATGTGTCTCACAAATGGTTTTATCTCGAGTCAATAATGTCAAATCTGGATGGAAGAGCATGTTCATGGTAATGCAACTACGCAATGTCTTTGTTTTCATGTACCTTTTATAGTTAATTATTGGTCTGGTTTGTTGAACTCTTTTTATGACTGTTAATACTTTCTACTATCTTAACTTTCGTCAGGTATTCACAACCGCAGCTTATGATGACCACAAAAACATTGTGCTCTTGGCCTTTGAAATAATTGAGAAAATTATTAGAGATTACTTCCCATATATCACTGAGACTGAAACCACGACCTTTACAGATTGTGTGAATTGTCTTGTTGCATTCACAAATAGTAGATTCAATAAAGATATTAGCCTCAATGCTATTTCTTTTCTTCGGTTCTGTGCAACAAAACTCGCTCAGGGAGATCTTGGTGCTTCTGGAAAAACTTCTCCATCTTCACCTAAAACTGGTTTAGAAGGAAAACAAGAAAATGGAGACATGCCAGATAAGGATGACAATCTCTATTTCTGGTTTCCTCTATTGGCCGGTAAGGATTTACATAAATTGCTTTTTTCATTGTAAAGAGCTTCTGTTTTTGCTGATGTTATTTGCTTTTTGTACACTCCCATGTGCTAGCAACCAAAACGAAGTCCTGCAATCTAATATTATATATACTTGCTTTCTGCAGGTTTGTCAGAACTTAGCTTTGACCCTAGGCCCGAAATCAGAAAGAGTGCCTTGCAAGTGCTGTTTGAGACTTTACGCAACCACGGTCACCTTTTCTCCCTGCAATTGTGGGAACGGGTGTTTGAATCAGTTCTTTTTCCAATATTTGATTATGTGCGGCATGCTATTGACCCATCCGGGGAGGACTCACCAAGGGAAGTTGATGGTGATACCGGAGAGCTTGATCAAGATGCCTGGCTCTATGAGACGTGCACATTGGCCCTCCAACTAGTTGTAGATCTTTTTGTGAAGTTCTACAGCACAGTCAATCCACTTTTGAAGAAAGTTTTGACGCTTTTAGTAAGTTTTATTAAGCGTCCTCACCAAAGCTTAGCTGGTATTGGTATTGCTGCATTTGTTCGCTTGATGAGCAATGCTGGTGATCTGTTTTCTGATGAAAAGTGGCTAGAAGTGGTTTTGTCGTTGAAAGAAGCTGCAAATTCAACTTTACCTGATTTCTCTTTCATAATGGGCGGAGATAATATTATTAGAAACAATGAATTAGGTTATAGCCGGCAAAGCAATGGAGAGACTGCTGTATCTAGCATGCCTGATGAAGATACAGAAAGACTAAGGACACAGCATCTTTACACTTGTATATCTGACGTTAAATGTAGGGCTGCTGTTCAGCTTTTATTGATTCAGGTAGAATCTGTCTCCAATCATTTATATACTTCTCACGATCAATGTATGGTTATAGTATAACTACAAGATGCTTTTCTCACCAAAATTGCAGGCGGTGACGGAAATTTATAACATGTATCGATCTCACTTGTCCGCCAAAAACATCCTAGTCCTATTCGGTGCTCTGCAAGATGTAGCATCTCATGCTCACCAGATTAACAGCAACACCACGCTGCGTGCAAAGCTACAGGAGTTTGGCTCCATGACACAAATGCAAGACCCACCACTTTTACGTCTCGAAAATGAGTCTTACCAGTTTTGCCTCACATATTTGCAAAACCTCGTAGAGGACAGGCCTCCGAGTTATGAGGAGGCAGAAGTGGAGGCCCACCTTGTTAACCTCTGCCGCGAGATTCTTCAGTTCTACATTGAAAGCTCTCGTTTTGGACAGATATCAGAATCATCAAGTGGCGGGCAACCCCATTGGGAAATTCCCCTAGGTTCTGGGAAGCGGAGAGAATTGGCGGCACGCGCGCCCCTTATCGTGACCACACTTCAAGCAATCTGTAGTTTGGGAGAATCTTCATTTGAGAACAACTTGAATCATTTCTTTCCCCTTCTTTCAAGCTTAATAAGTTGTGAACATGGGTCAAATGAGGTCCAGGTGGCTCTTAGCGACATGCTCAGCTCTTCAGTGGGTCCTGTTTTGCTTCGGTCATGTTGATTTTTGTGAGATTGGACCCTGCATATTGAGATGTATGATATTCTTTTTTTTTTTTTTTCCTCTGAACTTCCAATTCTCTTTTCTTTTGATTTATATAATAATTGTTATCGGAAATATAGTTAGTGTATGAAGAGTTAGCTAGTGCTTCTAGACACTCTAGTTTATTCAGGAGTTCTGCTCCATTTAGAATTCATAGATATATCTTCAGGGGTTTCGCTGTTGTATTTGAGTCACATTTCTTATTCCATATATTTTTTTTTCTATAAACGAGTGAGTTTCATATTAAATATTTAATGTACAATTACAATATTGCTCAGTCGACTTACATCATATCAGTTAACAAGGCCTTTTGTTTGTTTGTTTTTTGTTTTTTTGGCTGAAGTGTTAACAAGGCTTTCTTTGTAATGACAATATTTGGGCAATAACAACCTCACAGGCCCTTTTTAATTGTTGGAAAAAAGAGATAAATACTTCTGTGTACCCTTTATTCTCGTCTAGTGTTCATTTTAGTTAAATAACTAATTAGTTAAAAAGGTATTTATCAAGAATAACGAGTAAAAATTTAGATCTATCCACTTTAAGAATAAATTAAGCAAGCTTGACTGTGTAACTGTAAGCCCACTTCATGATTGACAGAAACAAACAACTCGGTCAATTACTTGACACATTCAGTTGCGGATTCCGCAAAGAGGGAAGAAATAAAAATGGTTAAAGTTGGGTGAAAATGACTTATGCCGGCACTTCACTTATCCTAATTCAGCTGGCATCCACCAAACAAGACTATCAAATACAGTGAGTGGAATTGGTAGTTCCTCTCTCTCTCTCACGCCCATTAAATGGATTCTGAAGGAAGAGGAAACCTAAAGGCTAAAACCGGGGCTGTGACAGGTATTTTCACTAGAGTCATGCATATGTGTCGCTTGCCTGTCCCTTTCTCTCTATACACAATATGTTGGGTTGCTTGGTAGCTCTCTGCCGGAGGGCTAAACCTCTTCTTGAGCAGCTTAGAGCCTACGGCGTCGTTCATGGATGTAAGAAGACAAAGCCAGTGAGGAAACTTTGGTCAAGTCTCAATATATCAATAACAGATTTTGCAGCCATGGAAGTGTCAAACCAGTTTAAGCAAGTTTTTGAGGTCATCGACGAAAACGGGGACGGGAAAATTTCCCCGTCTGAGCTCAGTCAAGTGCTGTTGTGCCTCGGGTACAAGAAGTCCATTGCCACCAAGGAAGCCGAAGGAATGGTGAGAGAAATGGATGGCAATGGAGATGGGTTTGTTGACTTGGATGAATTCATGGATGTAGTGATCAATGCTGCTGCTTCGGATGGCATATCGAGCAGTGGTGGCAGCGAAGAGAATGAACATCTCATGGATGCTTTTCTGGTTTTTGATATTGACAAGAATGGGAAGATTTCGCCCGAGGAGTTGCGACGGGTTTTGGTCAAGCTTGGATGTGATAACTGCAGTCTTAGAGAGTGTAGAAGAATGATCAACGGCGCAGATAAGAATGGTGATGGCTTTGTGGATTTTGAAGAATTTCGATTGATGATGACAAAAGATGCTAGTTAAAGACGATTGAATTGAGCTGAATCAATAAGATTGATCCACTTTATGTATAGCCTTAATTGAAGCCATGTGATCGATAGGAAGAAATTTGGTTTAAAGATGAAAAGTCTAGTATCTAAATAGTATAAAGAGAGAAAAATCTCACTATCACTTTCTTCTTGTATTGTTCTTTTATGCTATGATATCAGTGTATAGTCCTTTACGTCTCTCCATTCTTATCTTTTTTTTCAATAAATATGAACAAGTTCTAATCCCAAAGAAAAAAAAAAAGGTGCTAAACAAAAGTCTCTCACACAGAGCTTTCGTTGATCTTGCGCGCAAAAAAAAAAAAACACGGGGACGTGTTTGTTCTCTTGCCTTCAAATTTTTATGATCAATCATTCCAAACCCATTGAACAGTAAATTTGAACTATTATACTCTAGATTGTAGTCCCGTCTCTTCATCCTCATCTAATAGAGATCTCTAGTCCCTTTCAAAGCAAATGAATGGACCCGTCGTAATTCAAAAGTTTGTGTTCCATTTATTGCACATGTTTTCTGTTCCATTAATCTTACATGAGAAGGTCTTGGTTGTCACGATAATATGAAGATCGCGTATTAGGGTTGAAAAGAAAGAGGTCTGGGTCATATTTTGACCGGTATAAAATTGACACAAAAAAATAGTCAATTCTGAGTTTTGACCCACCTAATCCGAACATGACACGAAAACTATTAAAAAATTTTAATAATATATTTTGTATCACATAGTTTAGATTTTGTTATGAACTCGCGATGTTATGATAGTTGTATTATGTGTAAAACAAACTTTAAAAAAATATAATTTTCGTTTCAATTTTAAGTTCAAGAGTTATTTTTGTGTTGTGTAATGTCATGTCATACCAAACTGTAAAGTATGTTGCGGTCTTCAATAATTTTTGTATCACATGTCATGTTTAGGTTAGATAAATTTTTTTTTTTAAATAAAAAGATTAAAATATAATACGTAACATGAATTGCTACTTCTGATTGAGGACTTAAATCCAAAAAAATTTAAAGTAATGTTTTCTTACTAGAGGGTCATAAAGATGAATGCCGACACTGTAAAATTTTGCTCTCAACTTATCTCACTAAATATCAACTTGAGGATGGAATTCTGAGACAAGGGTACAAAACTAAAGAGGTGAATTCAGGGGTAGATTTTCTAATTTTCTATTTAAAAAAAAGACAAATAAAAAAACTACCTTACTAATATTGTGCAATCATATTTGAATAGTATTAGAACTATATATATATACACGCGCACGCGCCTACGCGAATTTAATGAAATTAAAAAGTTTAACGGTCCAAAACTTTGAAATACCTATATAGTATACATTTTATCTTACTAAAAGATTAGGATTTATTACAAAAATTTTATGACCTTTATAATATTTTGTCTCATAATTTTTAAAACGTAACATCAGTTCTTTTTAAAGCGCGAGATGTTAACAAAATAGATGTCAAACCCATAATAGTTATTGCTAAACAATTTAGTGCTCAATTTCTCTTTAACCCATCCCTCTTTATATTTTTCAAAACGGATTTAAATTTTCAGTTAATATGATAAAAAATAAAACAAGCAATAAAATAAAATTCATATTTCTCAAAACAGATTTAAATTTTCAGTTAATATGATACTTTTTAAATCACTTTCAAATCTTAAGGAAAATTCAAAAAAGTATTTCCCCAGTTTCTTTAAAATATCACAAATATTCTCCAAGTTTAAACTAATTAAAAAGTATTCTTTTTTTTTTTTTTTAAAAGAACAAATCTTTGTTCGGTTAAATTTTTTAATAATACCCTTAATAATTTAATAAAAAACTATACAGCTATAAATAAAAATAGAACCAATTCTATATTAATTTTGTGGGTTTTGAGCTTGTCGATGCCATGGTCACGGTCAGAGGGGTCCCGTCACCGACAAACATTAAGAACAACTTAAGAAAGATTAGAGAGATGGAGATAAACAGCTTGTGATGGAAGAGAGACATACATTCTAATTATGTTTTGGAATTTTTTTCTTTGCTCATGAATGCTTAAAATAATGTTTCAATATGGATTTTAGAAGGTATAGTTGGTATTAAAAAAAAATTGGCTAGGGTTGTATTTTTAATCTTTACAAAAGCATAGAGCATCCTTTTTTATTAGTGAATATTCATGTAATTTCAAATAAAGTGGAAAGATATTTTTTGAATTTTCCTATTTCACTTCAATTGACTCAACAAATTGTCATATGCTGCAAAACAAGTGAAGGAATCAACTCGGCATTGCCTTCAACAATAATGGTCTTCAAGAGTCCTATGAAAATTGATGGCGCAACATTTTTCAATAAAATCCAAATCCCTATAGCCTTCTATTTCAATTGACATTAGAGTGATTTTCCGTTTCAGAACACATTAAAATTACTTTCACCCTACATAAACATTCACCAACTCCTACCCTTCTACTTTGAAAATTAGAAAAACAAGGAATGAATTTAAGTAATGTCACAAACTAATACTTGAAATGCTTATGACAAGGATCGTTTGAACCAAAAGCTCTTATCTCCTTACAAAGACTTCAGACTACTTCCATTGTGCTTTTCAAACCAATGAGGGAATAAGCTTCCTTTTTATTTTACCAAAAATTCTTGCAACTTTCCCATCATCTCTCCCCTGTCTCTGTGCATTTCTATCTTTCTAATTACTAACTTGCCCTCATCTTTCAACTCCTATTAGTATAGTCTTTGTTGGTTATGAAAAACAAATTAATTTGCAATAAATTGCGAAGAGCGCAATGGGAAAGGTCTAAAATTGCTTCTAAACTCTTAATTAAACCTTCGACATCTATCTCATGTTACTATATAAAATATTTGTCATAATAATTATTTGTCTCAAACGAACAAACAATTTTTGGATGATCAAGCATTGCAAGTTCACCGACCTATACTCGCTATCTCATCTCCTTTATTTGACTGGTTTGTCTTCTCCTTAGAGGCTAGAACTATTCTATCATTGTCGCCGTAATTTCTTCTCATGCATTTTTAATAAATGTAATTTGTTGTAATGAATTTCTTTCTTTACTAGAGTACAAAATATACTATATTTACTACAATTTATTTCAAACCGTATCAGTTTTTGTAATTATTTTCAGAAATCTACAATTTATTTCAAACCCTATCATTTATTGTAATTATTTTCAGAAATCTGTTATTTACTACAACTAAAAAAAAAAAAAAATTTCCTCCGAGTGACAGTTGAGCCACAAATTCTTGGGGTAATTTTAATAAATACCCATTGGATCAAATTTTTTACTCTTTACTCTTGATTCATAACCTTTTTAGTCAACTAATTACATTAATAAAAAAATATTTATTAAGAATAAAAGTAAAGATCTAGATTCATACACTCTTAAAATAAATTCTCCATTTTTTCTAAGTTGTTATTGTGCAGCGTAGGTCTTCGCAGGTGGGAAATGCTTGTTTGGGTCCATAAATTATGGGCCGAGTGGCTAGGTGAGTCATCCAAAGTTATAACCTACAAACCAACAAGAAGATCGTATCTCCTAGTGTGTGTGTACACACACACACATACATATAGTGTATGTATACAGACACCAGATAGTCTCTCTAGTATCTTGTATACACATTGTGTGTGTGTATACACACACACTAGAAGATTGTATATGCTATATACACATAGTGTGTGTCTATACATACATACTAGTGTGTGTATATATATATATATATATATATGAGGTTTTAGATTCCTCAACAAATATTTAGGAGATTAATTTTACATCTAGCCGCTAACTGCCATTGCTATACTGGGTTTTTCTTTTGTAAGGTAAATATGGCAATTTTATTAAAAGGCTATTAAAGTGTTAGAATATATGATTGTACCAAAGTTATGGGAACAGGTGCTACTTATAAGACTAGACATTAGAAACGCATTTTTAATTCAAGAATGGAGAGACACCTCCTAAAAATGGTTCTATAACATTTAGTCATAGAAAATCGACTTAAAGTGAGCCAGATTCTATTGTTGTAATGGACCTTACACATACACACATACCTCAGATTAGCAGCGGTGGGGAAGTCAACTGCTGGCAGAGGGAGAAAACACCACAGACAGAGAGGTGGGGAAACCACCCTCTAGCAAGAGGAACACACTGGGGGATGGGGAAACCGTCGCTATTATTACAGTAAAATAAAGAACAAAATACAAAAAACTATACACAAATTCACAACCTACACAGGAGAAATCTGGTTAGAGATAGTGTGAATGAGATGGTGTGAACACTACGAACAAGCAACTCCCCCAAGTCTGTTCATGAGTTTTCAGAGTCCATGGCAACGAACAGCCTCCAAAGATCGTGTAGAACTACCGAAAAACTCATATCTTGACGGGTTAGATTTGACGAAACGTCGCCTCCTTTAATTACACGGAGCCCATCACTTTGTATATTATCTTATTGCGAGGTCAAAGATGAAATTTTTATGGCCAGAGATCCAGCGACGCATCGGACCTTTTGTCAGAGAGAAAAGGCCAATAGAGAAATTTAAAGAGGAATAATACTAAAAACAAAACTGATAAGATATACGAATAATAAAGGGAGACACAAAAAAACTGTTTAAGATGAGGTATATTAATTTAAAATGTGTATATTACTATTAGTTCGATATTTAGCCATAAAGGTATCGCTGTTTAGTTGTAAATTCAGATAACCAGATTTTCATTTCTGAAGATGCTATTAGAGTTCAAGTTTCCTCGTCCCCCATTCAATATAAAAAAAAAAATATATATATATCGTCAACAATTTCTTTGACGGTCTGAATTTAAGTTAGCTTTATCAGTACCACTAAATGGCTTTTAAAATCTCTTTCCAAAGACGACAAAGTAACTTGTATTTGGGTCTGGGATTATATTTGGTTCTGCCCAGTTTTGCTCTTAAAAAGAATATTTAAGATTGCAGCACTTTTCGAACATAATATATATATATATATATACACGTGTAAGTTGTATATTTATT